TTCCCAGAATAGACAGAAAGGCCAGTAGGAGGCCCAGCAGGAAGAGCCAGGACAGCACGTGCAAAGGCCCTGCACAGGAAGGCTAGGCGGGATCCTTGGGCAGCAGAGCCTGCCTGGTGAGGCTTCTTGAGGACCAGCAGAACAGGTGTGGCTGATGTCATGAGATCCAAAGGAGAGCAGCACCCTTTGGACAAGAGTGGGGTGCTTGTGTGGAGACAGTGGCGTTTGTGTGCAGGCATACCCCGAGTGCCCCCGGAGTTCAGGCCGCTTCTCCCCTGCTAGTGGGCAGCAGCTGTGAGGCTGGGGTCCTCTCACCTGACAAGTTGATTTTATAAATTGCTTCCCCCCCTCCTTTCTTCCTCTTTTTTTTTGAGACAAGCCCCAGGCTGGCTTTAAACTTTCAGTGATCCTACCACCTCAGCCTCCTGAGTGCCGGGATCATAGGGATGTAGCACTGTGCCCAGCACAATTGCTTTTTGTCCCTGTTGGTGACATCCTGGGTCTCTCCCCAGATCTCTTTGCCACGCGTCTTTTGAAATTTTTTCTGGCACTGAGCTCCACCTTCCCCAGCTTATGATTTCTCTTCACTTTTGAGACAGGATCCCGACGTGTGACCCTCCTGCCTCAGCCTCGAACAGTGTGGTATCACAGGGTGTGGTCACTGCCGAGCCTCCCTGAGCTGGGGTCCGACAGCTAATCCCACCAAGCTCGGGGAGCGCAAAGACATTTTTAGAACTTTAGAAGCCTGACGGATGTCTCTTCCGGATGTGGCTAGAGCTCCCAAGCCTCTCTGAGGTGACACGGAAAACTGCCATCACCCGCACCTGTGTAACCAGCCACCCTCCCGAGTGTGTCACTATGATTGACTTGGAGGCCACGGGGGGGGGGCATCAGGGTGTGTTCTTGGTGTGTGCAGGCAGGTCACAGTGCACGGCCTTGGAGACTGAGTCTGGTCCCTGACCCCTTCCTCTCTGATCTTCCCCCGCCCGCTGTGTCCTGCCTGCTGCCTTAGAGCAGCTGCCATGGCCTGGCCCCCCCTAAACCATAATCCTCTCCTCCATGAGGCTATGGGGAGCCAGTGCTTTCTCCCAGCTCAGAGTTTATTTGCTCATGAATCGGTAACCTGGGCGGGCTGAGGTCTGCTGGCTTCAGCCTGCACTGGGGTGCCCCGAGCTCTCTGTTCACCCTAAAGCACGGGTGCAGACCACGGGAGGCTCTCAGCGAGTTGGACACACTTATAAACCATCTTTGCACTCACTGGGTGTCCGAACTCTTTTATTTCTATGGCACTGGGGATGAACCCCAGGGCACACTGCACCCCAGATTTTGCAAGTCCAAGTCACAGTCTTGCTTAGCTCCCCTGGCTGGCTGATTCCAGGTGACCCTCCTGCCTCAGCTTCCTGAATGCTGGGAGGACAGGCCTGCACCAAACCCAGCTTAAGGCAACTTTATTTCCATTCTGTTAACTCAAGGGCTTTTGTTTTCCTTTGCAGAGCTGCAGACCAAGCCCAGGACCCTGTGTGGGAGAGGAGTGCTCTCTGCCAGAGCTGGGTCCACCCTGGCTCCACCTGTAGCTTTACTCCAAGCCAAGAAGCAGGTGCCGGGATTCTGGGTGGGCAGAGCTGAGGGGTACAAGAGGCTGTGCTCATCTGAGTCCGCCCCTCAGGTCCCACTGTGGAACCCATCCTGGATGGGCCTTTCCTCTCCCATGACTTAGAGGTTCCCCCAGATGTGGGGTGAGAATCCTAACCCTGCCTTCTGGTTCCATGATGACTAACTGATTGTGGGAGATACTTGGTACGGTTCCCAGGACATGGGAATCGGCCCACACATGCCTTCCCTGTACTGTCAGAAGCAGCTGCTACATGGACACATTCCAGCACGAGGTGGTAAGCTCTGATCTGGACTAGGGAGGAGCTGCTGCTGGTGGAGTCAGCAGAGGCAGAGATAAAATTAGTCTGATGAATCTGGGGAGACCCAGGGGAGCTCACATGAGATGAAAATTTTTTTTTTTTTTTTTTTTGCGGTACCAGGGATTGAACTCAGGACCTTTTGCTTGCCAGGCAGGTGCTTATGCCACTGAGCTAAATCCCAGGCAGGGTTGGGACTTAGAAGGGTGAGTAGGAGTTTACAGGGAAGGAAGGAGGAAAGGGAAGGTATTCTAGGTGGATGGGAACACCTAGAAGATGGAGGAGATGACGAGTTCAGGGCCGGTGGCACAGTGTGGTGCCTGAGGTGGGAAGGATGCAAAGCTCATGTTGACTTGGTGGAATCTTGGGGCCAAACCGAGGGGACACAAGCAGTGACAGCAGCTGGGTGTGCTGGAGGCTCATTGTTTTGTTTTTGTTTTTGAGACAGGGGCTTACTGTATTGCCCAGGCTGGCCTCAAACTCAACAGCAATCCACCTGCCTCAGCCTCTCAAGTGCTGGGATCACAAGTGTGCACCAACATGCCCGGCTTGTGCAGTGGACTCTTATTGAATTTGAACTCAATTTGTCCACACAGGCTACCTCTAACTCAGGCTGGTTGTAAGTCAAGACTATTTTTCCCACAAGAAATAATGGAAGTGCCCATAGTGGGTTCCAAGCCTCCCAAAGCTCCCCTTAACTAACCTTTTCCTAGTAGCATACAGGGCTGCATAACTTGCCAGAGACAGCAATAATCTTCCCAGTATGTTCACTAAAAAGCTATCAAATGTTCCTAGTTTACCAGAAACCAAGTTTCACGCTGCACTCACTATTCAGGTTGACCTCTCCCACTGGCAGGAGGGGAGGATGGGTGGAAGGGGGGTATGGTTGGAAGGGGTGTCCCCTCCTCTACGGACATCAGGGATCGGCTCTCTGTCCTTTCTGTCCTCGGGAGAAGCTGGAGCCCACCAGGACCTGTCACTGCCTCAGGAACTCTGGACCTATTCAGAACTGTAAACTGCTCTCCAGATGCTGCTTCCCTGGTCTAACGCTGTTCTTTCCAATCGTGATTGCTTTCTTCTTCCTTTTGGTACTGGGAATCGAACTCAGGACCTTGCACTTACTTGTCAGGCAGGTGCTTATGTCACTGAGGTGTATCACCAGTCCCAGATTGCCTTCTGTCTCTTCCCTTCCTTTCTCAGCTACCTTTCCGTAGCAGGAATCACAGTGAGTTGACGAAGCACTGACCAAAATCACATGCACAGACTCACGCATCTGGGCTCAGATCGATGTTTACATACACTGCTGCAATCACAGTGGCCGGCATTTGGGTCGAAACTCAAGGCTTTGGTCAAGGTGAACCCCAGAGCCAGGCTGTAACCCAAGTTGTTTGCCCAGGAGGCAGGCTAACTCCAGCGTCCGTAGTAACTTTTGTCTTACAGTGCTGTGCATGGAACCCAGTGCCTTGTAATTATAGGAAGCCCCACCTCAGCCCCAAGCCCTCGGCCTGACCACTGTTGCTTTGGCTTTGGTTTCCCTCAGTGGGTGGCAAGGCCTTTCCGCTCTGCGCATGGGGCTGGCATGAGAAGAGGTGGTAAGAACTTTGCCAATAGAAGTCATTGACAAATGTTAGAGCCTGGTATCGGGGCGGGACTGCATGGGAGTCCACAGCCAAATCGAGCTCAGTCAGATGGGTGAGGTCTGTCCTGCCATGAAGACAAAGATAAACAGCAGGGTTGGTATGGGGGCACAGACTGTAAACCCAGCTCTTCCGGAGGCTGAGGCAGGAGGATCACAAATTCACAATTTAAGCCTTGTCTCAAAATAAAAAGGGGAAAGATGTAACTCAGTGTGCAGCTCTTGGATTGGATTCCCAGAATTGGGGGGGGGGGGCAGAACTGTGAAGCCCTAACCCTAAAGGCTGAGTCATTTTTGTTTCTTGAGACAGGGTCTCCCTGTACAGTTCTGGCTGACCTCGAACTCGCCGTGATCCTCCTGCTTCAGCCTCCCGAGTGCTGGTGTCACAGTCATGCGCCCCCGAACCTGGCATGGTCAATGATTTTCTCACCAGGAATTAATAAGGACACCGATTTCCAGGAAGGACTGGAGGAAGGGACTCCATTTTCAACCTTCAACCTTTATTTTTTTTTTTTAAACCAAAGATAAATGTTCATTTCACTGAAAACACTGTCACCAGGGATTATCTGTATGTTGGGCTCATGAGCCCTATCCCCGAGCGGGGCCTGAGACCCTCGAACTCTGGGAGGCTGAGGCAGGAGCATGGTGTTTAAGCCCAGCCTGGGCAAGTTGACAGAGAGCAGGACAAGGGACTTCGCTCAGTGCTAAAGCCCCAGACTCCGTCCCCAGTAGGAGAGCAGGCCTGTGCAGGCAGTGACTCAGGTACCACGTACACGAAGTGCAAAGGAGCCGATGGGCGACCCCGTGCGCCTGGCGGCCGTGTCCCCGCGCCGGGCCGGTCATGGGTGTCACTGGTGTCACAGTGTCGCTGCCCTGCTGCCCGGCCCCCCACGCACCTCGGTAATTTCTCCGCGCTCATGTCACGACTAGGGCGCGTGCGTCCTGGTACACGGGGGCCCAGGTCCCCTCGCGGCCTTGGGCAGCCGGGCCGGGTGCGGGGCGCGGGCCCGCCAGAGCAGCGCTGCAGCCCACGCCCACGTTGTGCCCGGGCAGAGGCGGCGCGGATGATGGGGGCCAAGCGGGCATTTAAAGCGCCCTGACGTCACGCGCTGCCAGGAACTCAGCTGAGTTTTCAGCAGGCCGTTCCGCCAGCGCGCGCCCTCCCGCCGCACGCCTGTGCCAGCTCCTCCCGGGCCGCCGCGGCAGGAGGAGCAACGCGCCCTCGGAACAGCCAACATAGGGGCGTCCCCAGCGGGTTCCAGACTCCGCCCCCTCCGCTGGAGGCTCCTCTGATTGGTCAGTAGGTGGGGCTTCGGCCGCCCAGCGCCCCCGCTGGGGCGTCTGAGTAGCCGAGCGCGCTGCCCGTCTCATGAATTATGCATAAAGGCGGGTCTGGGCCGGGCCCGGGCAGGTCGGGGATTGGCTGAAGGAGCTGTAATTCAGCGGTTTCCGGAGCTGGGGCGGTGCGGCCCGGGAGGGGGAGCCTAAGGTTCCGACGTTGCCACCTCCGAGGGAAGAGCGTCCCGGCGGAATCCCGACGACAACCCGCTCGGTGCCGCGTCCCCTCTCGGCCCCGACAGGCCCGGGCCCGAGGAGTCCCAGCCCGCCCGGCGCCGCACAGCCCGGCCCGTGGGGCCTCGGCCGGGAAGCAGGTGAGGCTGGGTGGGGCTGCGGGGCGCGCGAGTGCCGGGCCGGACCGGGACCGGGGTCGCGGCGATCGGAGTGGGGGCACGCGGGTGACATGGAGGGTAACGGCGCGGGGACGCCCGGAACTCCCGAGGGACTGGGCCGACTGTCAGTCGTCCGCCCCGTGCGTGGGGGGGTTGGGCGGGGGCAGAGGCCCTCCTGCCTCGGCTGCCCGGCTGGGCCACTTCCTGGCCGGGCCGGGCGGCTGCCCCCGGGGTAGGATAGGTGTCGCCCCGGCCATTGCCTAACAGTCGGGTTTCCTATCGGGAAACCGTAAGACCTGATACCTTTTTACACCCGCCCCTGGGTGAAGCCCCGCTCGCGCCCACCCTGGCAAACAAATAAAATAATAAAGTGAACCCGAGACGTGATCGGGGCGCGGAGCGCCTGTCTTTCCTCCGTGGCGTCGCCCCCGCAGAAGCACCTGGGGAAGTGGCCCGGGAGGCGAGCGGCCAGCCTTGCGGTCGCCGGAGCGGGGTTGCCTCACTAACTGCACGGGGCAGCGCGGGCCAATCAGGCCCGAGTTTCCTGTCGCGCAGCCAAGGTCTTGGCAAACGCGGACCAGAGGGAGACAAAGACGGGCTGGCCGGCTTGGCCGAGCTCCGGGGCACCTCGTACCTGCGCCGCCGGCTGCGGTTGCACGGGAAGCGAGCAGGCCGGGAGCCGCCTGCGCAAGTCGGTTCTTCCCCGGAATCGGCCAGCGCTGAGTGTGGAGACGCCTGGGCTCCCCAGGGGTTCGGCTCTACTTCTCATTAACCAGCGAAAGCAACGCGGAGTGCACCTGCTGGCGCCCGGGGAGGAATCGAGGGCTTCTCTGTCGCCTGGCCTGGCATCCGTCGTAAGGTTTGGACTGGTGGTTTGCATGGGGGTTTCTTCGGAGTAAATCAAAAGTGGTGAATCATTTCCATCGTTTACGAACGTAGCAAGGCTGTGTTATGACTTGCTTCAGCCAAATTCTTAGTCTTGCTAAGTATGTATATGTTCCTGGAATCGACACACTGTTTCTTTACTACAAGCCCCAGACGCCAGACTGGGGGAGCTTCTGCTCAGACATTTGCACAGTGGCGGCGGTAGGGGGAGAAATCTGGAATATATTTATGTATTTATATATTTTTTCGTACCAGAGATCAAACTCATGATGCCAGGCAGAGGCTTATGCTGCTGAGCAAAATCCCTGGCAAAATCTGGAATTTAAAAACCAATAATTGCGGAGTGTTGATCTTGGTCTATTTGTTAGTGTACCTGTCACAAAGGACTTGAGCACATTCATGCTAGGAAAGTACTTTACTACTGAGCTACATCCCCAGCCCTTAAAAAAAATTCACATATATACTTATATACATGTTTGGGGCTTTTTTTGAGACAAAGACTCATGTAGTTAGGGCTGGCCTTGAACTCACTGTAGTCCAGGCTAATTTCAAATTTGTGGGAATCCTCCTGCCTCAGCCTTCTGGCTGCTGGGATCACAGGCATGTAACACAAGGCTCAGCAGTGTTTTATGTTTTTGATTTTGAGGCAGAGTCTTGCTAAATTGCCCAGGCTGGCCTCACACCTGCAGCCCTCCTCCTGGGTAGCTGAGATGACAGGTTTGCACTGCCTCACCTGGCTCAGATTCCTGGATCTTTGCTGTCTTGCTTGTTTGAAAAGAAGAGCCATTTGGGGCCCTCAGTGATGATGTGGCCCTGGTAGGTGTGTGGGGCAGGGACCTGTGACTGTGACGCTGTCCCTTGATTGGAGACAAAGAAAGGGAGGCCCGAGAATGCCACACAGGGCAACTCAAGTCTCTGTATTTTGTGAGTTCTCGGCGCCTGCACCGTGCTGAGTGCGGGGACTTGGTCAGGGGTCCCCGCCGGCTCTTGGAGGAGCTAAGGGACTCCAAGGATGAATGGGGAGAAAGAGAAGCAGAAATGGGCTGATTTAGGTCATTTTCACCCCTGCTCAGGAAGTAGCTGGTTTTATGGTCAGCAGAATTCCCAGTGAGGTTCAGCTGCTGCTAGCAGAGATGTGGGTACCAGGCAACCTCGACTCAATTGTCCTTTAAACCCAAGTGTCCGTGGTTTTGCAGCGGTCACCTTGCACGGTCTCCTTTCGGCCCCTCCTGGGACCTGACCTTGTGCTGAGAGGGGCGGGGCGGGGGGGGGGAGTCTCCTGGAGGACCAAGCCCAGCTCCTCTGCAGCTCCTGGTTTCTGAGCACTGCTGTGGAATGCAGCAGAGGGTAACTTTTCCCACTTGGCTCAGTCAGTGTTGGGTCTGCGAGGGCAGCCTAATAAATGCTCTCCTCGTTGCTTCGCTGAGACAGTCTGTGTGGTCCAGGCAGGCCTTGAGCTCCTTATGTAGGACCGGGGATATAGCTCATCAGCACAGCACCCGTTTGGCAAGTGCAGGGTCCTGAATTTGATTCCCAGTACAACCCCCCCCCCAAAAAAAAAAACACAAAAAGCTCCTTTTGTAGCCCAGGCTGGGCTTGAATTCATGATGCTCTTCCTGCCTCAGCCTCCTGAGCGCTGAGGTCACAGGTGAGTACCGTCTTGCCAGGTAGCAGGCACTATAACCATTTGTGGTGACAGACTGAGGCCATCTGGGGCTGACCTGTGTTGTGTGGCAGGTAACCGCTGGTACTGAAGCACACCAAGGACAGGTGCCTTCCATGCTGTGGTGGTCGGCATACCTGGGATCCCAGCACTCTGGGAGGCTGAGGCAGGAGGATCCCTGTGAGCTCGAGGCCAGCCTAGGCTACATGGTGAGACCCAGTGTTAAATCAAAATAAAAGAATGGGGGGCAAGAAGATACCGAGATGTGACCCCAAATGCTGGTTTAGGGGAGTTAGTAAGGGCAAGGGAATTGCTGCTTGTGAAGGCCTTCTCGATAAGGACGGGAGGTTGTTGGGGCCCTGACAGACTTGAGGCCCCATCCTGGGTTCCAGTGAGTCTGGGCTGTGCTGGCATGAGCAGAATCCATTGGCACTGCCCTGCGCACTCGGGGTGAAAAGTATAGGGAACCTATGTGCAAAAGTTTGTTTCTGCGGATTGTTGACTGGCTACATACACATTGCCACCCAGTTCTTTTTTGTTTGTTTGTTTTTGTTTTTGCCCTGCTGCTTCCATTTTTGTCTTTCATATTGAAAAATATTTTTATGGTGGCTTTTGGGGGCTTTATTTTAGGGAAAATGACCCACAGGGCTGAGGGCATTGACCATTCCCGGAGGGTTGGCACAGGTACGCTGGGCCCTGAGTGCAGTCTCTGAGCCCACAGAGAATGCAAACAGGCAAATCGTAGTCAGCGGCAGCACCCAGGGGGGTCCCCAGAGCCCCGCTGCCCAGGGCACAGCTGGACTATGTGGCCTGACTGGGTCCCCCACCTGCGAACTGTGGCTTCCGTGTCCTGTGGAGGCGGGGTAGGATTTGGTGGTGAATTGTTTAACATTCCCAGGTTTTCAGAGGAGAAACTTGTGGGAGAATTAAGTTCCTACGCTGTTCATTCTCTCTCGTCCCATCAGGAGTCTCACAGCTCTTTTGGTGTTTTGAGACAGGGTCTTGCTACGGACCTCAGGCCGGCCTCAGAGTCACTATGTGTCCCAGGCTGGCTCAGACTGGCAGCGATCACCCTGCCTCAGCCTCCTGAGAGCTGGGGGACAGGCGAGGGTTCCCACCCACATCAGCAGACGCACATGGAGAACTGGTTGTGCCCAGCTGGGCCTGAGAAGAACAAATTGTCCGCTTCCAGAAGACTGGTATGAGGTTCGGGCAGGGAGAAGCTAGGTAGGGGCCTGCTGTTTCCTGTGTAGGATCTGAGCTTCAGTTTCCTTGTCTGTGGAAGGAGAGGATGATGACAGTGCTGCTCCATAGGTGCTGTTGCAGAAACTGCACTTAAGTGCTTGGCTGTCTGCTGGTGCTTATGAAGCACTTTGCAAACTGAAGTTCTTAATGTAATTATTTTTTTGTCTTTTTCATTTTTATCGGTACCGGGGATCGAACTCACGACCACTTGCTTTTAAGGCAGGTGCTTATGCCACTGAGCTAAATCCCCAGCCCCCCAAACTGAAGTTCTTATTAAATGCCCAAGAAAAGAGATCCATTCTCTCCAGGGGTAAGGCCAGGCCTTTATTACAGAGGACTTATTCAGGTAGCACCTGGACAGGGCTCTGTAGGATGCACAGGAGTAGTAGTTCCATTCAAGGTTGAAGGAGCAGCCAGGAGCCTTCCAAGCACTGCTCGTGGTCTAGGACGGCAGGGGAGGGGAGGCCACTGAGTCATGTCAGTCACTGTTCATGTGTGGAGTATAAGCATCACTCAGATCGATCAGTCATGTGATTATCACCGAAGTGCTTACCTGGCCTTTGCTTGCTGGGGAGGACTTTCTGCCTGCAGGAGACTTGTGCTGTGGCCTTGGGACACACACTAGGCTCTGGCTCTGAGAGCTTCAAGGCAAGGACCGCGCGGCTCCGATCCAGCTCTGTACCGGACCTCAGGCTGCTGCTTGGGTTCTGTGGGTCCCATGCAGGATGCAGAGGCTGAGGCTTCTGGGTCTGCCATGCAACAGCGGAGGCCAAGGCCGGGAGCCAGGCACTAAGAAGTGCTGTCACCATCACAGTGTGTGCACGTGGAATCATGAGTCACGGGGGTCAGGGTGACCCAAGGAAGAGACTGAGCTGGGCTGGGGATTTGCGTGGAGGCCTCACAGGCCTCCACCCGCAAAGCCCTCGCTCTTGTGCCCTGCCTCTGACAAAACCTGTGTTCTCTGAGCTGAGCGCAACATGCTAGGAGCCTTCTGTTTTTGCTCCCCCTCTCCCGTCGCTGGCACTGGAACTCAGGGCCTCCGTGCTGAACCCCAGCCCCAGCCCTTTACTGCGACAAGGTCTTGCTAAGCTGCCCTGGCTGGGCTTGAACTTGGCACCTTCCTGCCTCAGCCTCTCAGAAGGCCAAGATCACAGGTGTGCGCCTGCTTGGCATGTTAAACCCTGATCTC